AGCTCGTCGAACGCTTGAATCGCTTGCAGCCCTCATCACATCATCATGACAATAGAGGAGAGTCAATATAAATCAAGTGCCCAAAATAAGTTTCATCTTGTATTGTATGTAATTTCAACAACTAATGTTTTCCATTAACAATTTTTCAATTCTTTGTTCTATAGCAGGAATTGCAGAGGATATGTGATCAAATAAATTATGTTTTTGATCTCAAATAAAAATATTCTTGTATTCACAAACTTACAAATGATCGCATGTAGTTTTGCATAAACAAATTATTTATAGATTTATTTTCAAAAACTTAAATGCTTTGGCAAATTGCACACTTTTATTATAACAATAAATATATTCTTTAATTGAAAATATATTTTGTTACAAATACATACACTAATATTGTAACAATAATTGATTTTTTATTTTGCATTTAATTGTAAATGTACTTTATATTATTAATTTTGATAATTTATTATCAAATTTCCATAATTTCAAGGCGCTAGAGATAATGATAAGATTTTAGCAAATTATGATGTTCCCGCATGCAGCAGGGTCGCAGACAAAATCAAAGGTTTGAACTCCGCTAGCAAAGCAAAGGTTGTCAATAATACCTATTATCCAAGAGCGAAACACCTATTGTACAATAGCGTAGTTAACGGAAGTTGAGTGCAACTATCAAGATAAAGAAAATATGTGTCTTTCTTGATATGGGTGTTTAAACATTTTCGAATCATTTTTGAACCTCACGCAAACCACAAACAAAATTACAAAAAAAAAACTTAAATAATATTCATAACTATGTTCATAAACAACAAAACTACATAACAAATTAACAGAATATCATATTTATAATTAATATTTAATATATACAAAGCCTTCTTACACATAACATAAAGGTTTGTTCACAATTTTGTTAAAAGCATAAAATTTACGAGCATAAATAAAGTTTTTTACAGGGATAATATTATGTGTTATTTAAGTAGAAGCTATGCTTCGAGCTATTTTATCTTACATATCTCTTTCTTTTCAGACGTATTGAACACTTCACAATACATATTGTAATGTAATTACAACAGCAGCATTCAAAAGAATATTAGGAGGTCATCTTTCTCTGTCAAAAAATAAATTGTATGTATCGAAAGCAAATAATATGTAAAGAATCTATGTGTTAGTAATAATATTCAAATATAATTGTTGTGTGATAAAATATTAGTGGGGATAGGAAGATAGTTTAACATCCTAGCATATGAAGATATGTTACACACACAAATGTAAAAGGATTGCATGAAGCTTTGTTCAATTGAAATAAATTAAAAATTAAAAAGATATATTTGTGACATCAAAATTTTTACATAAAAATTAAAAAAAAAAGGAAGAACCATGAAGCTTAGCTCAATTGAAATAATTATACTAGTTTTTATCATTGGTTACAAATGATGCCCTTTCTCATGATTGGAGAAGTTGTGTATACAACATAATATACATGAATTGTGTAGAACAAATTCTATGGGGGAAGTAGAGGAGTCTTATGACATGGGGACTAGCTTTGAGCGACCGTTTATTATTTGTTCAATGTTATTTATTGAAGAGACTAGATAAATACCAAGAAGTTTAATATAAATATTATTTTTGATGTCGAGAGTCATATTTGGTATTGATGACATGCATTGTAGTTTTGCTAATGTAGTCATCATATATAAGCAATAGTATTCAAGAGACTGTCGTGGGTGATATAGTTGTTGGGAGACTTTTATTAAGTAACGATGGTCAGAAAACCTAGTTAGAAAATGACAATCAATTGACTATAGTTGGAAGATGGTGATTTGAGCACCATAATTAGGCAACAATGCCAAGGATTACAATCAAACATGGATAACTAGGTAATCATAGTTAAATCATAGAAGTCAAGAGGATTGTAGTTAGGCAACATTGGTCCAATGATTGTAGTCAGGTGATGGTGATATAAGAATTATGGTCAATGATAGTAGTTAGAGTACTAAAGTTCAACGATGATGATTGGAGGTCCATAACTCACTACAGGAAAATTATCAATTATCGACGGTTAATATCAATGTTATGGTAATTTTTAAGAATACCGGCGATTTTCCAGTGGTTTGTTAACCTCCGATACAAACCGCGTATGAAACAAATTACAGCAGTCATTTTTCGGAGGCTAAAGGTTCTTCCGGCTTTCCGACGGCCAGAAGGGCCTATAAATTATGGCAGTCATAGCGTAGGCGATCATCAGTTAGTTACCAACGGCCTACCGACCATCTCAAATGCCAGTAGTGCCGACGGCTTGACTGCCGGTAGTTACCGGTGGCTATATTAAAATACCAACGATTAAAATAAATCGTCTGTTATCAACGTTTAAATATGCCCGATGCATTCATGCAGTTCAATCATCCAACTAGAATTCTACTAATAATATCCACATATATTTCACCACCATCACTCTAAACAACATACCAAAAATATCTAAAATGTATACTCTTATTAATGACTTAATTGCCCAAACTCACAATCCGCCAAATGGATCTATTACTATAAAATTACATTTCATATATTCGGTTATAGATATACTCAAACAAAAATCTTTAGACTATAAGGTTGACCTCTACAATTTAAGTTTACCTTCAACTCCCTATGTGGTCTTATCAACAAGAAGAATATCATCAACAAAAAGTGTACACCATGGTACAACCTCTAACAAATGTCTAGTAAGAACATCCATGATTGAGGCAACAAGATATGGGTTTAACGGTGATCCTTGATGTAATCCATCTGAAATAGGAAAATACTTGGTCAAACCACCTTTTGTTGAAACACAAGTAACAACTTCTACATATATATCCTTAATGATTTGAATATGAGCATTATTAACCCCTTTCTTTTCTAGAACTCTCTATAGCACTTCTCTTTGAACTTTCTCATATGCTTTCTCTAAATCAATAAATATCATATGTACGCCCTCATTATTCTATCTATGATATAAAAAGAAATGAGCTTAAGGTTGATCCTTGATGTAATCAAACTGAAATATGAAAATATTTGATCAAACTATCTAGTGTTTGAACACAAGTAATAGCTTGAATATAAGCATTAATTACATTTTTCTTTCTAGAACTCTCCATAACAATTCTCTTAGAACTTTATCATATGCTATCTTTAAATCAATAAATATCATATGTAGGTCATCGTTATTCTCTCTAAATAACCATCCATGACTAAAGAAACAAAAAAAGTAAATGCAAGGAGAACCTTCGGGCCGTTCGCAAGCCAGATTGTGGGCATCGGCAGGCACAGCCAGGGCGTCGGCGGGTGTGATCGACGGCCAGAGTTACGGCGTCTACAGTCGGAGGCGAGCATGAGTGGCGTATGGAGGAAAAATAAATACGCCAACAAATGAGGAGGAAGGGCATGTTTGGCCAATTTTAGGTCAATTTTCGACGTTTATCAGGCGATTTGGACCGCTGAAAAAACACTTAAAACCGGCGGCCAAGCCACCGGTAAATGTGATGCAAAAACACAAAACCGGCGGCCTATCCAATGGTTATTTTACCGTCGGCATTTCCAGGTGTTTATTATTAAAAACTGCCTGTTAGAACCGGCGGTCACACGACCGGTTTAATCGCTGGTAATTTCGACGATTCTTTGACCCCCGAAATTATCGCCGTTAATTGTTGATTTTCCTATAGTGACTTGGTGATGGCTATCAGAGGACCCTATGTAATAATGTAACATTTAATTCCCCTAAAATAAATTTCTTGAAAATTGACTAAGAGAGCTCTACGATGTTGAGCTTGTGGCATTGCAGTACTAAACTTTCAAGTTTTTGGAAAAGTAAGGGAGCACAGTGGTGCTGGGTCATAGGCGTCACAACATTGGGTTAAGAATTTATTTATTTTTTTAATAAAATAATTAAAAATATCTGTCTTAAATCGCTATCCCACCATCCCTTCCATTTCAAGTGCATGGTCGAGAGAGAGAGAGAGAGAGAGAGAGAGAGAGAGAGAGAGAGAGAGAGAGAGAGAGAGAGATTCAATGTGTTTATGTTCGCCACTTCAGTTGTAAAAAGTATTTTGATCATGATAAGTATTCTTAACGTACCTCTATTTCTAATAGTTTTGTGTTTTGCATTTTTTCTAGAATTGATAAAAATTGCAATATCTTTAGTTTTATTGATTTTCCATTGTATAACTTTTGATATATGATAGATATCATCACCCCGAACATCTTGACTAGATTATATTGAAATTTCATAGGAAAACTTTGTATGTAGGTTATTTTTTTGAAATAATTGGGAAAATGTCAAGCATGAAATGAACATGAATTAGTGTACTGCATTTGAGTATAAAATAGATGATATGTACAAATGTATTATTTATTTAATAAACCGTGTAATTTGGGCATACTACATTTATACCAATGTTTATATTTGATAGATTTATATTTTATAATCATTTCATATGATGTGATTAGAATGTTATTATATATAATATGAAGTTTGTATATAAGTTAAAAAGAATGACTAAAGATGATTGACTAATTTTGGTTGGTTGAAGATATGTTATCATGTATAAGAGGGTGGGGCAATGCAATCACCGAAGGGCAGCGACAACCGATGATGGGCGGGGGTTCCCAACGATGGCCGATGGTGGATCGGGGTGGCCGAAGACTAGCGACGACTGATAATGAGAGGGGTGGATGGTGGTTGGCAATGGTCGGAGGCTAGAAGTGGTCGAAGTCTGGCCGCTGGGCACAACAGAAGTGGCTACCGGTCATGACAATGACTATGAATTTCAGATGTATTTAAAAATAGCTCAAATATAAAAATTCTAAATACACCAAATTTAAACTTTTATTTCAAAATTTCACTCAACATTCATTCTATTTGGAATCAAATATTAATATTTTTAAAAAAACCCAATATATATGAGTACTTTACACGCTCTTTTGAGCAACCCAAACTGCGGCCCCTAAACCAATCGCAATTCAAACCGTGTACGCGCACTCGCCGCATCGCCGTCTTGTTCCAGGCTTCATATTCTCTCCACGTTCAAAGCCAAATCCACTCTTCCAGCTCATCACACATACCTTGCCCGGATTCCCCGCTTTCTTCTCAATAAAGCATTTTCTGCGACCAAACCAGCCCCATTTTCATCCTCTCCAGCTTTACCATCCCCGTAGCCAAGAAACACCCCGCGACCACGATCTTCTTGCCGGCGGCAGCAGCAGAACCTAATGGAAGGGTTCGATGACCCTTCCCCCGCTGCCGCCGCCGCCAAGAAGCCCTTCCTCCCACGATCCCTCACCTACCACCACACATTCCACCGCCGCGCCCGCGAAGTGTCACGCCCGTTCTGGAAGAACTTAGCCGACGGCAATCCCAAGCTTTCCACCGCCGATTCCGGAGTCGTCGTTTACACCACTTCGCTGCGTGGAATCCGTCGAACTCACGAGGATTGCTGCGCCGTCCGCTCCATCCTCGGCGGCTTCCACGTCGCGGTTGACGAGCGGGACGTTTCCATGGACGCGGCGTACCGGGCTGAGCTCCAGGGGCTGGTCGGCGGGAAAGGGAGGCCGGTGTCACTGCCACAGGTGTTCTTGCGCGGTCGCCACATCGGCGGGGCGGAGGAACTGCGGCAGCTTCACGAGGCCGGGGAGATGGAGAGGTTGCTTGAGGGGGTTCCCCGGCAAGATCCGTCGTTCGTGTGCGGTGGTTGCGGCGGAGTTCGTTTCGTACCATGCTGGGATTGCAGTGGGAGCCGGAAGGTCTTCGTGGAGGACGAAGGAAGACTGCGGCGGTGTGAGGAGTGCAACGAGAATGGATTGGTACGATGCCCTAACTGTTGTTCTTCTTTCCGCTGAAAAAAAAGGTAAAAAGATTATTGGGGAACTAGATGACCTGCAAAAGCATTTGACATGCAAAACAAAATGTCATTAGGTTTTTCCTCGCTTCATATTGGGGATTATTGGATGTAGAGCCATTCTTTCTTTCTTGAAGTGAACTTGGTAGCAGATCACTAATGGGCATGTAAATGGGAAGGGTGAAATACAGTTTTAGAAAGTATATGACAATTATATGCAGTAGATGTTCAAAAGGTGGACATTTAGATCTCTGTCCTTTGGAATTGTGTGTTCATGCATGCTATGCGCATAAGTTTTAGAAATTTCCTATCTCCTTCATCGTTTGTAATCTGTATGAGTGCCTCTTTTCTAATACCAATCGAGATCTTTTTTTTTTTACCCGGAAATTAGGGCAACATTCAAACACACACAACACACAACATATGTATATGTATGAGACTCAAATCCAAAACCTCTTAGTTGGGATCTAAACCCCCTAAACCCTAAACAAATCAAGTAGAGCTGCATCTAGTGGATCTTTCACACTTGCGTAGAATTATAAACATGCCTAAGATCTTCTAATTTAATCTTTGTTTGCGACATTATTGTAGTTTTTCTACAAGCTACAAGCAGAAATTTTTATATTTATTTATATAATATTTTAATGAGTAAATCATATTAAAATATAAATAAAAAATATATTTTTATTTTAAATAAAATAATAATTTTGAGCATGCAATAAACATGCCAAACTGCTAGTTTTCTTAGCCCTGTCTTCATGGTTTTGAGCCATCATCGCCATCAGCAAAGCATAAAAGTTTTATTGGAAGCTTAAACCCCATTTCCTAGATATCCCTCGTCTTCTCTGCTTGGTTTTCAGAATTTCAGTAAACAAGCAATAACCCATATTACTCTTTCAAATATCCTTCTTTTCCAACAAATTTATGTTAGTCTTCAGAAATCCATCGCTTAAGTGTGCCCAAGATGAAGCTGCGTGATGCTTTTATGTTTTAATGCATAGCTATTGGCTTGCAAACTTTCTTTCATATTGCAACTTTTAACCAGAAAGAGATGGCTTCTTTGAGTTCTATTGCAAGTTTTACTGTGACTTCACATGCTTGCATTCGTGGAAAGTGTGAAGAAATATCAATCTATTTTATATTTGATGCTTCTGTATAGTGTTTGTGTAGGTTGATTGATGTCTTCTCTTTGGATGAATAGCCCCATATTCTTTGTTAGTGATTAGTAATGAAATTAGGATTTAAAGATAAGGGGTGAAAGAATACTCAACATAGTTAATAAGATTGTTGAAGACTGAAAATTCTATATTATATGTAACTACAAAAAAACTTTTATTCCTACCTTAGGATCAGGTGTTGGTAGCTGGTGGCTTATGATTTTTTGGGGATTAATAAGTGATAAATCATTAATACGTGGCCCCCAATTTTGAAGAAACTACTTACTCCAATCATTGAGCCACAAATCCTTTCATGTGAAGGCCTTATAAATTTGAGTGTGGAAAGATCCTCCATCAAGGACCACAGTAGCACATGGAGAATCTGCCATTTTTGTATTATTAGCTTTTCATCTCAACAAATTTGCTCATAAATTAGAGTTTCTTGTTGTTGATATGGCAATTGTTGCCAAAATCCGATCCATCGAAATGTGGACCATTCCTCAAATTTGCTTGATTTCATTAAAAAATCAAATTTATGGGAAATCAAGATCATTTTATAAAAATCGACAGCTCTTAATTCCATAATATATATATTTTTCAATTGAAGTTATGTATATCTGATATACATTATGTTATATAGGGGTATAAATGAGTCGAGTCGACTGACTCGAGCTCAAGTCACTCTTGATTTAGAGCTTGAACTTGATTAATTAATCTAGGTCGAGTCGGGCTTTATATATATAATTGTGATTGAAAGGAAGATCAGATTCTAAAAATCTTTGGATACCAATAAAAAAAGGAACGCAAGCCATGTTCTCTTCTAGTTGGTGAAAAAGGGAGCCACGCTTTGCGGGACTGTTTGCCATGCGGAATCTTTTGATATTATTGCGACAATTTTATTAAAGTTAAAAGAGGATTGAACACGTGATTGTGATATCATTCAGTTCACGCTGGAAGTAGGAGCATTATTGAGGTCCATTTTTTTATTCTTTATCAACCATTTGGATAATGTTATTGAGGTCTGATACGGCATCAAAAGTATCTTGATCGGGCACGAATCTCGAGGCAAAAGCTAGTTGGAAATTTCAAAAATTAATTTTGGCAGCACCCGAACTCCGATTTCAGCGAGCTTACAGTCAAACTGAGCGTCTCGGAAATACGAACCCAACGACACCAAGATCAACCCAATCTGAGCCCAAATGAGTCCGAATCTAGGGCTCAAAGCGCTGTTGGAAGGTTCAAACCGCAATTTGAGTTACCAAACGGTCTCCGATTTTGACGAGCTTATACTCGAATCGAACGGCTCGACGAGACGAATCCAACGAGCCCAAGATCATCGAATTCCGACATCATTAAGGCCTTCAAATGACCAACAAACGGTGCATGATCAAAGGATTCGATATCGGCCGTCCATTCAAACCACTCCCAATTCGCCCTTGATCTCACGCCTATTTACGGGCTATGCCACTCCAGAAAAACTATAAATAGAGCCCTCATTCTACACCAAGGGAAAAAAAAAGGGGAAGAGAGAGAAGAAGAGGAGAAAGGGGAAAAGGAGAATCCTCACCTCCTCGACCACCGCCGGAGCTCTTCCTACCGCCTGAAGACGCCGGAACTCTGTCGGATATTTGGGAAAACGCCAAAATTCTTCCCAACTTCCACGGGATGTAGGAATTCTTCTCAATTAATGTTAGAGTTCCCTCATGACGCTGAAACTCCGCCCAAGTGAGGCCGGAGTTCTCCTCTGCCACCAACAGACGTCGAATTTCTACCCGGCGTCGCACATTCACTCTTAGCCAAGTTTCTACCCGACGCCGGACTTCTACCGGTTATCGGACTACGATGGACGTCTACGCGAAGATGGAGTTCCTTCCATTATTGGACTTCTACATGACGTCGTCCTTCTAATCTTCGTCTTTAGACAACAGTTCTTCTGACCTTCATCGCCAACCGACTACGGTCCTTCTGACTTACGTCGCCCGCCGACTACAGTCCTTTCGACCTCCGTCGCCAGCCGACTACAGTCCTCCTGACTTATGTCGCCCGTCGACTACAGTCTTTCCGACCTCCGTCGCCCGCCGACTACAGTCCTCCTGACTTACGTCGCTCGCCGACTACAGTCCTCCGTCGCCAGCTAACCACGGTCCTCCTAACCTACGTCGCCCGCCGACTGCAGTCCTTCTAACAAAGAGAATACGTCGATAGTAGCTCTTTGTATTTACATCATGTAATGTACTCCATAAGATGTACATGAAGCTAAGGCCTTCTCCCAAGGAAGCGCCTCATTTGTAATCGACTGCAATACTAGTGGATTCATTCAGACTGGGCTAGGCCCCGTGGTTTTCCCCCCCTTTTTCAGGGGTTTTCCACGTAAAAATTTTGGTGTCTCATAAATGCTAGACCCTCTCTCTTTATCTGATTGCGTGCAGGATTTTCGTACAATGCTAAGACGATAAACTTTATATTTCTCTACCGCCGTGAATACTCCTAGACGCAATAAGGTCGATTTATTGATGCATGAAGACTTGACACCTGTTCTCTTCGGTCAAATCAGGACGAAATGTTTATATTTATGCAATCATTTTTTTCTTTTTATTTTTTTAATAATTATGATTCTTAATTTTTTAAAAAAATTTATGTAAATTGTTTAAACTTTGAGTTTTTCTACTGCTGTCACAATATTGCATTAGTGATGGGTGCCATGACCTGCCACATTTATCTAAGAAACTTTTTCTTTTTTTATCCACATTCATGATTGGGTTTTTCTTGTTCGAGAGCTTTGCTATTTTTTTTTTTGTTTCTTTGTGACCTTTCAGCTGAGGTACATATTATGTGTTGGATATAAATTTATCCGTGAATGATACTTGATCTTATTAGCAAGTAATATCTTATACGATAGCATGATAAGTTGGAGTGAGTATGACAAAAAAAAGAGAAGGTTAAGGAGATCAAAGAGTAAAACTAAAGCCAAGGTGTCAAGAATACTCATGTGGATCACCAATGCTACAAACAAATTCGAAATATGTCTATCCACCTATTTATAGAGATTTGAGGGCTACAAGAAAGTAAAAAAAAAAATGGTAAGAAAGTACATCATTAATTGCGACCCAGGATATATGTCATCGTCTGATAGGTGTCCACGTGGTTCTCTGTTTTTAGCCTGGTCCTCAGTTTCAAGGCAAGTCTTTACAGGTGAGTCGATGTGGCGAGTCCTCTAGGAGTGTTGGTTGGCCTCTAGGTACCATTCTTAGGTTCTTAAGTTAAATGCCCCAAGACCTAAAGGAGATATTTATCCAACTTTTTTCTAAGCATTTATTAATTCTCAATCAGAATTTTATTTCTTTAGAGTCATCTAATCATCCAAAATAATATAAAACAAACATCTAGAATATGCATACAAATATTTTTTTCCCAAAATACTTAAATAACAATAGTTAATAATACAATGCTTGCAATAAAATGCTTAAATACATTATGAACTATTCAATCATATGTACCTTTTACATTCCCTTTCCCCCCATATCAGAGTTCAATTCACGGCTCATAATTAAAATAAACAAACTTGTTGAATTTTTGTTGTATTAGATCACATTTGAATATAAATGCAGAAATGCAAATGTATAATTAATGCTAACTTGTAACTCCCATTTACCACCTCCCATCTGCTTGAGGTAGGTGCAGAGCTGAGTATATTCCAATAAAGAATCATCTTAGGGCTATAGCAGAACAAAATAGTTCAAAATAGAGATACATTTGTATTGTGCTCAAATATATAATTCAAAGTGCATATTCATTTCCATAATAGAGCTCTAGAATGTTATACAGTGCATGATGATGATAATGCAATATACATTTGATGAATTTAAAGCATGTACATATTAATTACCAGATTTCATGCTAAAACCCAACTTTTGGTACCAGTTAATTTTTTCAGAATTTTACCAATTTTGTAAGAATATATAGAATATTAAATTAATATACTTTGCTAATTGTACTGAGATTCAAGAAATTTCAAATTTTCATACAGAGCAAATCAGTCGATGAAATTTTGTACTTCAATAGTGATATTGTCATGAATAGAGTGGTTAATGATATACTGAAAGTTATACAGTAAACTATTTTTCAAACTTAGGAAAAATACATTCTTAAGCAT